TGCAGGGTACTGATCACTGAGAGGGAGGGATGTGATCATAATCAGTGAGGCAGGAATGGCACATAAGTGGAGAGTCTTATCTCAACACTTCCCCTCTATCCTTCTCCACATCACAAGCCTTACATAGATGGAAGTTTCACACATGTGTGTATAAGTCATTTGTTAATGTCCCCGAAGGTTAAGACCTAAAATTCCTTTTTGTTTTTGGAGAGATTTTTGCTATAGGGCACATGTGCTCGCCAGAAAGAGACAGAGACATGGGACCAGCAGTTAGCATAATGGCTATGTCGCTGGACTCCCACATAGTCGACCACAGTTCGCGTCCCGGACCCGGTGGCTTAAAACTCACGCTGGGCACGTGTGCGTGTGTGCCCAAGATCCCGAGAGGAGAATGGAGAAGGGATTGCGGCGTGGCCATCCCCCCTGGGGGGTGATTTCTCGCTTTCTATCTCTCTGTCTGTCTGGCGAGCACATGTGCCTTATAGCAAAAACCTCTCCAAAAAAAGAAAAAAAAAAAGAGACAGAGACAGAGAGAAATCACCCCCAGGAAGGATGGCCACACCGCAATGTCAGAGGCACATATGAGTTAAGTCAAAAGCACTTTGTTCCTAAAATGAAGGAGTAAGTTTAATCATTTGCTTTCTTTATATATATATTTGAATAGATATATCTTGCCACTTCTCCCACATGTAGGCAGAGTTATAGTCATCATCCATGTCCTTGGGTGTGCCAGTGTTGCATATGTAAATGTCCTTCAATGTGTGGGAATTTATTTTCTCTTGCTCATTCCCTGGAGGATCTTATTTTAAGGAGTTGCCAATTCCCTTGTGGGCACCCCCCCCCAATAAAAATGGTAGATGGAAGGTCAAAGAACCTTCTTTTCCTTGATCTTTTCATGTAGGCTAAGCCAGAAGCACTCCTATGACTTAATGGCTTCCAAACCACAGACTGACTGGATTCCTTTCCATATGCCTGCATGAACTTCTGTGAGTCCGTGTGAACATCTATAAATATGCTATTGTATGTCAGTCCATGTGTGCCAGCATGTCTGTGCTTGCATTGTGATGCAACACCTGTTAAGACTGCAATACCAAACTGCTGGCTATAGCTGAACCTTTAGAGTTAATTCTGGGGAATAAGATGTAATCTCAATTTAATATAAATGGGTAGAGATAAGAGGAAGATGGAGATTCAGGGAGACAGTGGATTTCATTGACACCATTTTTAATTGTCTGGAGAGAATAGGTCATGCTGAAGCAATTTAGCCTTTAACCACTAAAGGTACTATTTGGAAATGTTCTACCATGTCCTTGTTTTTCCCCTGCCCTGATTTTTTTTTTCTGCCAGTTGCAGCCAGAATGAATACCTACAGTCCAAGTGCTAAGTCCCAGGGAATAATGGTTTGGATAAAGAAAGCTTGTCAGGGCTTTCTCTGCAGTCTTGTTATGTGCAAAGTCAGAGCCTCTCCTGTTGCTTCGCTTTTCAAACCTGAAGGCATCAAAGGGGCAGCCAGGTCATCTTTGTTTTAAACTTCCTTTTCCCCTGCTGTCAGCGTCTACTATTTCTCACCTTTTTAAAAATTAACTCTTCAGAGAAATCCCACTGTGAAAGTTATCCCAAAATGATTTATTTTAAAGAATGACTTTAGTGCTCTTGTTTAAAGTACCACCCAGGAAAGTCTTTACCATCCTGGATATGAATGAGTCTCTCTCCTCCAGAAAAGGTTTAGATTGGGGTGGGAAAGAGACAGGGCTCTCAGGAAATGACTGGAGCCTGACAGGAGAAAGAGGCCCCTCTCCACTGGAGGGTTGGAAAATTGTGTTAAGTGGAAAAGGCAAAAGGAACCCTTTGGGCCTGAACACTAAGAACCCCATCAAGGGTTGGTTACTTCCTACGTCTCAGAGTCGCCCCCACCCTGGAACCCATCAACACTCTCTGAGACATATTTCACCAAACACTCAATAATTTTTCCATAATAGCCTTTAATACTAAAATGCATTAAATTTTTGAAGCAGAGAAAACACATTAAAGGGGGAAACAGAGAACCACCAGATAAAAGGAAACAATGTGGCAGTTAACACCATTTAAAACATAACTGTAATAATTTAATAAAGCTGCTTTATCATCTTCATAAAATAGACAGAGTGGTGATTCTTTTTTGTCTTTTTTCTTTTTACAATGATTCAATCACTGTGAAAATGTACATAACATACAGATCAGCATATACAACAATTTCATCTTCATATAATCAGCAACAGAGACTGCTTAATGAGACATACTGTACTTGCATCCCTCTAAATTTCCACCCTGGTTTGACAGGTAAACAGTAATAGTGTCATCAGGCTCATTCCCCTCACTAGAGGAGCGAAGGCCTAAGCCTTTTGCAACTAATACCTTAGCATTCATATAGCACAAGGAGGTATTTGTTGCTCAATTTCTAGCTTGAGCTAGTCTGACTCTTGGTCATTAAAGTCTGTATCCTAGCCTTTCTCAGCTGAACGCCAGCCAATGCCAGTAGATATCTACTTAACCAGTGTTGTAATGGTGTTAGCTGGTTTGTTCGCTAAGGTTGAAAGCAACTTTCAGTTAGTAACAAGGTCATCTTTAATTTCCAACACAGCTGGAGCAACAGTCAGCATCATCAGTTTTCCCTAATGACCTACAATGCTTTCCAATCAAGATCAGGTGTTCGTGGGTTGTTCTTTACCAAGAGCGCCTTACAATGTATATTTCAGACAAGGTGGTTGGATTTCTTTGTTTTACAAAAGCAATATGATTCCTATTTGAAATTAATTCACTTTTGCACAACAAGTGACCCACAGGCCAATTTCAGCCTCACAAGAAAACAAAGAGAGCTGCAACAACTTCATTAGGACAATGTGTTTTGCTCTGGAATATTTCATTATCAATATAAAGCCACCCAGTCCCAGCCCCACCCCCACACATCCCCTTTGAATATTACTTTGTTACATACTTAAACTAAAGAACAACATCTCAATACACTTCAGTGTCAGCAGATACAATTTGACTCATGAAATGACATCCTTAAATGTAATTTTACCAAGAAGGCAAACACTAGGACTGTATACAATGGACTTAAGCTCATTTATGCCAGTTTTTCAAAGTCAGTAAGGGTCTTATTACCCTGGGTAAAGAGCCAAGTGGACCAGACTTGTCAGAATTCTTTAGGGAAGGTTCAACATCAAAATGATCCCCATAAAGTGAATTGGAATTCCAGCCAAAACTGCTATTATGTACAATAACAATCCTTTTTCCAACCTGGATGCCCAATGGAGCTATCTATCCCCTTCAACCCTGCCTCTCCCCAAATTGCCCTTTGTTCTTGCTGCTTCAAGTGGACCACTTTTGTTTTGCTTTTGAATGATACAATAGGGCTACAGGAAAAAATCAACTTAATTCCCTTCATGTAATCAGTCAGTTGTGTGCTGAAGTAACATTATCAAGATGACACTCTGGGTGGTTCCAATTTTCAGAATTCTAAGTTGTATTTTCTTTAATATTTTTGATGAGTGATCAGCGGGTCACTGTGCCAATGAATTTGTTTAAATGGGCATCTTAGGCATAATTGCCTTTGTTAAATGGGTTTACTCTGGAGCAATGATACTCAAAGTATGGTTCTGGACCAAATGCATCAGCATCATCTGGGAATTTTTAGATCTGCAAAGGCTCAAGTCCTACCCCAGACCAACTGAATCAGAAACTCTAAGAGTGGAGCCTATCAACCTGTGCTTTAATAAACCCTCAACCTTGAGTGAGTATCTGATTCACATGGACTGATTCAGTAAGTCTAGGGAGGAAGAGAAAATCAGCATTTCTAACATATTCGCAAACAATATTGTTTCTCCTGGCCCAGAGTCTACATTTTTAGAATCACTACTCTACAGAACTACAGGATTCATTGGCCCATTGCCTGTTTCAGCAATAAGGTGAGCCATAATTTAATCTCCTGACTTTAAGGGAATCAATGGGTTAGTAAGTTTCACTCTAGATTACTTAGTATAGGAAAAAGAAAAAGAGTCCACATACCATAGCTCCCTTCTCCCTCTGTTCCTTGTTATATAGTATATTCTCACATTAGGAGGAAAACAATCAGTCAACACAAACTAAACCCTTATATCGCATGAAGAAGTTTACCTACCCAGAGAATTGCCAAAAGCAGTTGTTAGTAGAGCATGTCACACTTCAACACCAATTCTTCCTCAAAAGGGACATCTGAATAAATGGAATAGGACTTAGGAACCAAAATTGCTTCATGTATAAATGTATAGCATGTTTGGAGAGGAAAAAAGGAAGAATATTTGTCCCTCTGGCCCTTGTAGCTTTTCATTCAATATGTTAATAAAGGAGGGGAAGAAACATGAGCCAAGGGGAAATAGGAACCTTGCACAAAATTCCTACTTGGAGGCACAGCCTGCCTATACAACCAGCTTACAAAGCCCTCCTAGGATGCACTTGTGCTTCTGGGAGGACACGTACATCAGACAATAGTAGGGGGAAAAAAAGATATTTCTTAATGAGAGAAATTCTCTGAACATGCTTAGTAAAGGGTTTGGACGCCAAAAATTCTCTGACTGCCCACTGAGAACAAAGTATTTGGGATCGAGAAAAAGGATGAGTCTATAGCTTGAAATTGAATTCTGAGGGGGGGGGCGGGGGGACGAAGAAAAGAAACCCCAAGAGAAAAGCAAAATCCATGCCACTGCTACTCTAACCATTTCAAACTTAGCTGGTAAGAGGCCTACAGCAGCCAGTAGCCTCTCCGGTTCAACAGCCAGCCACATAACATTAAATATTTCCACTTTCCACAATCTTTTCTGCTCCTTCATTCACACCAAGCATAGTAAGAAATACACCTGTAGAAAACTGTCAAGTTCAACTTCAAAGTGACCTTGCGGTGGTATCTGACAACATAATAGCAGGGTGGGTCAGGGTGAGGAAGAGTAGAAATTGTTCGAAATTGTATTGGCAGCCATCATAACTTAACGGGGGAAATTTAAAAAATTTTAATGTGTTAATCAAGTAGTCACTCACAAAGAGAAATAAATAACCTAACTCAAAACCTAGTACCAAAATGAAATGATTCAGAAGGGAAAAAGTGAATAAGAGAATGAAATGAGGCAAAATGAAAACGTTATGGTAATCGGTCTCTAATTGTGTCAGTTTCAGAGGAAATTTGCAGCCACAGCAATATTTTGCATGAGGTAGTATTCAGCACTGAATAAGAAATAAGGATGGATTTGTAACTTCATTATAGGTTTTGTGGGTTTTTTTTTTTTTGCCTTTTTTTCGGAAATGTTCTCCCTTACCTAATCCCATCACCCCCCCGCTTTACCCACCCCCTCCCTCAAAACCCTTCTCCCTCCCATAAAAGAAAACACTCCTAGTAATATATAAAGCTAGGAACTCAGGCAAAAATAACTAAAACATTTTAAAAAGCTGACTTATCTACCTAACCTTAAGAAAATAAATCCTTTTTTGCATTCTAGTGCTCTAGCCTCTAGGCCTTTCTTCTGGGTACTCTTGAATTTCAAAAAATGAAACAAATGAAAACAGAACCACAAAATTTGTTTCTCTAGAAACAATTCTTTATAAGACCAAGGCAGAGCAAAGGTGACATATTTGTTTATTTTTAAATAATCAACTCTCAGGCTGCAAGAATACTATGTTGGCTAGTGAATATTAATAGGCAAATGATAAATGGGGAGTTAGAATGAGAAAACAAAACAAAAGAATGTACAGTTTGTTAATTTAAAAAAAAAGGTGTATTCCTAGCCTACAGCAAAAAGAGTTAGCTAAATCTAAAGAACTTTTTAATAGTTTCTTGTTCACATTTTTAATCAAAAAATTATTCATAAAAAGACGAGTTCAAGTGTCCAAGTGTCTCCATTTAGAAGGCACAGTAATTGGATTAGTCGTGCTGTTACCTGTTACCTGTCTTTTCCTAAATGTACATTTTGTTCTGTTTACTCTATCCCTGTTTATAAGCTTACCACGATACAGAGCAACATGGAGTTCTCAATTCCAGTCCATGACATGCTTTGCAGTCTAATTTGAATTGTGACTGGGAAACATTGAATCAGGAAGTGTGTGTCTGAAGAGATGCTAATTTAGATCTCAAAATAGATTCAGTCATTTTGAGTTTTAGATGATTGGAAACAGGGAATTTCTAAGACTGGAAACTGTTATCTAGGAGCAACTTTCCCGTTCAGGACCCGAAAATTAGAAAAATGGATATCATAAAATTTTCAGCACAGTATTTCTGACAACTGCAAATTAGATAGCAGCATATCCAAAAATCACTTTCTGCGATGATCTATCATGGACCTGGGCAGAAGTCTGAAAGGCAGGAAAAATACTTCACAAGTTGATGAGCAATCACTACATGGGTTAAAAAATGTAAGTCTCCTCCTCGTACTCAATCTATATGTGTGGCATTGCTCATTCATTTGCCGTCTCAGTTGTTTGCACTTTGTTTTTGTCTGTAGTTTTATTATTTTTTAAGAAAAAAACACCAACCTTTAAAAGCCTTTTGCCCACCACACACAGCAATTTGCAATATCAAATACAACAATAGCACAGCTAGCAAAAGGGTTCTTAAAGCAGGGGTGTCCACAGCAAAGTAGCAGCATTGGAAAGTACTCAAGCTTCAGAAACAACCTTTTGGGGGCTCGATTTCACATCACTGGATCAATGAATAGTACACAATAAATGACCATTAACTTGTCTACACTACAAAAAACAGTGGCGAGCTTATTAAAGGTGTCCAGAGCTTTTTTCTTTTTTTTTTCTTTTTCTTTTTTTTTAATGTAATCCTCCACAAACAATGGCAATTTATATTATAATTTTGACATAGAAAAATATATAAATTCAAACACTTAATAGATAATACTTCTCACAACTGAATTTGTCTCTGTTTCCCCAACATCAAGGCCCCATGAACAAGTTAATCCAAAGCTAATTTGCTCCAACTGAACACCCCTGCTGCCTGTTGAAACGAGAGGGATTGTCACAGAATGATAGTCATTTATAAACAATACATTTAGGGAAAGCTCTGAAATACAGCCACTCAAGAACCAACCATTGGTGAGCAATTAAAATGAGCAGCTCCTGCTTCTTCACTAGCCAGCGTGGTTTCTTTCTCTTTTTTCCCGGAGACTGGTTTAGAGAACGATATCCTTCAGACGCTTCACGCCAGGGGACTCTTTGTCACGACCCTCCTTCAGAATGGGGTTGACCTCATGTATGACTTTCTCGCTGTCAGCGCCACGGGGCTCAGCTTCAGAAGGACGAGAAGGGCCATTGTTGACGTTGTTGACATACTGCTCCAGATCACGAGCCGGGGGAGCCAGGGCAACGGTGTAAGACACGGAAGGCTTGGTGGGAAGAGGGCTCTTAAGGTGGAGGGGGGAGGTGACAGGGCTAATAGCCTCACAGCCATTGCCTGCCTCCCGGATAGCGCCGTTGACCTTGGGGCTGCAGATGGTGACATCGACAGTCCTCTTGCCTTTCAGAGTGGGCCTCTCCTCAGCCGAGTGGTCGCTGACATCTTTCCCAAAGGTTGCGAAAGTCCGCTTGGTGGGGCCGCAGTCGTCGTAAGCCTCAACATCAGCAGCAGTAGCTTCAATAGACAGCGCAATGATGTTCCTCACATGCTCAGGGGACTTGGACCTGGTGGGCATGGGGTTCCGGGGCATCCAGCACCGGTCAGAGTGGCCAAGAATCCGGCATTCTTCTCTGCAATGAAATCCCTCATTCTGATCTGTTTGGAGAAAAGAAAACATCAATTTCATCAGCTTTTCACAGGAATCATTGTTATTCCCCAGTGTTCTGGTTTCTTAGGTATCCACAGGCCCTTCTGGGAAATGGCACTTTTAGATAGTCCTTTACTGCCTTTTGGGACAAGTGTGAAGAATTGGATTTTTAAAAAGCTGTAACTATCCTTCCATATACTCCCCCTTGTAATATTTTTTGTTGTTGTTGTTCTCACTGCTGACAGAACAAAACAAAACTAAAGGGAAAACATATTTTGGTGAAAAATATGTTTGAAAAAAAGTGTATACTCCGTGTCAGGGTGCTGAGAGTCAGCATTTTTTTTTTTTTTGAGAGTCAGCATTTTTATCAGGTGCTAAAAAATCACCTGTGTTGATACTGGATTCAGCAGAAGACAAAGTAGAGGCTAGGGAATCCAACAGTCAGTATATCTTAGAAGACTTGGTCATATTTTTAAGCAACTATACTGCCAACCATCCTTCCACCCCTACCCATGACTGATACACAGTTCTTAGTTTAAGTTTAGACTGGTATCATACACTCTTTGAAAACCCAATCACATCACTACTTTTTGATCATCAGTTGGTCCCACCAGCCAATTTCCCCATTATTCCATTTCCTTCACTGGATTTCCAATCAAAAAGAATATACTAATACCTCTTCCTTCTAGCTGACCCATAAGTTTCAACTAATTCTATGAATACATAATTCAAATGTTGGACATTATTTAATTAGCCCCAAATAGCCATCCCTCCTTATCTTTATCCGTAGTTTTATTAGGATCATATTTCTTAAAATAAAGAAATACGAGACCAGCAGTTAGCGTAATGGCTATGTCGCTGGACTCTCACCTAGTCAACCGCAATTCGAGTCCCAGACCTAGTGGCTTAAATTCATGCCGGGTGCATGTGCGTGCGTGCCCAAGATCCTAAGAGGAGAATGGAGGAGAAGGGATTGCGGTGTGGCCATCCCCCCGGGGAGTGATTTCTTGCTTTATGTCTCTCTGTCTCTCTCTGTCTTTGTGGCGAGCACACGCACCCTAGCGCAAAAACCTCTCCAAAAACAAAACAAAACAAAATAAAGAAATTCTTCATGATTACTCTAATCCCATCTCAGAAAATTTACATCAGTCAGAATTCATAATCATTGGGATCAGCAGGTGGTGTGATGGTTAAGGTGCTGGCCTCTCACATGTCCAACCACGGTTCAAGTCCTGGACCTGGACCTGGACCTAGACCTGGTGGATGGCTGGCTCTCTCTCTCTCCTCTCATTCATGTGCCTTACTGCAAATTAAAAATAATAGTAAATAAATATTTTTTACATAATTCATAATTATTGTGGACACATATTTTCTCTTTCCAGGTTAGGTTCATTACGGATTAAGGCTTCAGTTTGGCTTCCAGGGGGGGCTTTCTACAAAGGCTTCACCAAAGCATGGACCCAAGGTTAACTCCTACCTGTCCACTGAGAAATTATTCATCTCAATGTCTGCTTTATAGTCCTAGTTTATGTTTATGTTATAATACTGTATAAAGATGACTTAATGAAAATTTGCATCACATGGCACAATGCATCAAAATATGAACAAATATGAACAGCTTAACATCTATTAAAAAAAATCTTGGAGCAGTATTAGAGGAGGTGGGGAGGGAACTAGGAGAGACTGCAAAGTCCAGATGTGTGTGTGTGTGTGTGTATGTCCACATACACATCCATAGGGTCTCCAAAAAGTTCATAGAACATTCATATTATGAGTAAACTAATCATGAATTTCAAAATTGTTTTGCACCAAAATAAACTTGTACTTTAATTCCACTTTCCAAGAACTTTTTGAAGTAGCCCCATGTATATATGTCTGTGTGTATCAGTCTATATAACACACCTTCTTTATACACTTGTATTTCTAATTTTTGGTGTTTTTTGTTTTCTTCTTGATTGTTTTTAAAGAGTAAATGCATTAAATAGCAAGTATTGCTCTGCCTCATTCATCAAAGGGTCTTTGTTGAAGGGGCACATGGAGAACAGGCTCAAGAAATAATGACTGATCCAAGCTATGGTAGCACACACTTCCAAGGCACTGTGCCCTGTAGGCAAGGACCACATGGGAGGCCTGGGTTCAATTCCCAGTCCAACCGAAAGGCCAGGCAAGGGGTAGTACACACCTGTAGTCTCAGCAGCTTGAGGAGGCTAAGTCAGGAGAATTGAGGGGTCAAGACTGACCTGGACAACATAGCAAAATCCTGTCTTTAAAAGACATGCTCTGCAGGTAACAACCCCCTATAGTTCTAGTTTCAACAGGTAACAACCCCCTATAGTTCTAGTTTCAAACAGTAGACTGAAGCAGGATTGCTACAGATCAAGACCCTGTCTTTAATAGTAATGGTAATGATGATGGTTAAATTGGTTGTATACATGATTTGGAGGTGAGGCATTAGAAGTAGTTAAGTGACAAGGACCTAATCCAAACTGAGTCCATATTTCAATAAAACCCTGGGTGTGTCCCTTGACCTTATTTAAGGTACTTAAAAGTCAACTACAGATAAAATTCCCTCAGAGCACCTGGACATGATTTCCTAGTTTATCTTTAAGATGGACATGTTCAATCCCCTCTCAGTGCTGGACAATGAAACACTCAGATTTTTACAGATCTGCAACCACATACCAAAGAACATCCTTACCAACAAGAAAAGTGTCTACCATGTATATAGGACAATGTTTCTGCAAACTCCAGCAGTTTCACATTAGGGCTGCATGGCCACTTTTGAAAAATGAAGGGTTTGTCAAAGCTCTTTTCCTTACCCTTCCCTGCAAACTCTCAGTGCTGCCATCTGTTACTCCATCATCATTCATATGCATATGAAAGGGAACCATGTTGGACGTATTTGGGAAACCCTTCATGTAAACCCAGGAGAGTTGATACGACCTCCATCAGTTTCATTCAAATCTAGTACTTTCCCCAGGAGGCTCCCGGATCCCTCTAGTAAAACAGAATTCACAGCTTCAGGGTTTCCCGTTAAGAGGTTGTTGCCACTGCATTTCCTCTGAGACACATCTCATAAATTTCCAAGTAATAGCTCTGAAGAATTAGC